TCTACTGTGCAAAAGTTCTATTAATATTATAGTATCCCTCAGAAAGCATTGTAGATGTATGTGATGCAATATGTATGTAAACATCACATGTGTATAAACATATGTATTTGCCAAAATATCCCAAGTGATGCTTAAGTCTTTATTTCCCTCTGGAACTACATTGTTCTCAGGACTAGTTTCTTCCAGGCACTTACTAGAATGGCCTGTTAAGCTCCACCTAACAGCAGTCAACTGCTTTTCTAGCCCAACCTTCCACATTTCTTCAAAACCCCACATGGTCAGGTTCTTTACAGTCAACATCCCACTCCTGGTACCAGTGTCTATTCTAGCTTGTTTCTCCATTGCTGTGACAAACACTCTGACCACTACCACTTGGGGAGGAAAGGGTTTATTTGTCTTACATCTCCCAGGTCACAGTTCATCAGGGAGCCCAAGGTAGGAACTCAGGGTAGGAACCTGGAGGCAGGAGCTGGAGCACAGGCCATAGAGGCTCTCTGCTTACTGACTTGTTCCCTGACCCCTGCTCAGCCTGCTTTCTTATGCAACACAGGCTCCCCTACCCAGGGGTGGCACCACTCACAGTGGGCTGGGCCCTCCCACATCACTCAACAATCAAGAAAATACCCCACAGACATGGCCACAGTCTAGTCCTATGGAGGCAATTCCCCAATTGAGGCTCCCTCAACCCAGGTGTGTCAAGTTGACACTAATGCTATCCAGCACAATAAGTTAATACTGTTTAGTATATTATAATAAAAAATACTTTATTAATTTAGATTCCAGGGGAATCAGTATCAACTTTTAACCTAGTTTTATGATTCTGAATGAATGAATTAGAATATCGCACTGAAATGATAGTCACCCAAAAGCTTTCTTCAGGCTTATTTTTCCTATGAGCATCAAACATATTTCAAATTAGTTTTTCTATTCTTTTTTTTTTTTTTTTTTTTTTGAGACAGGGTCTCACTATGTATCTCTGGCTGGTCTGGAACTCACTATGTAGACCACGCTGGTCTCAAACTGCAGAGATCCACCTGCCTGTGCCTCCTAGGTGTTGAGATTAAAAACATGTTCCACCACACATGGAAATTTAACTTTTTTTAATGTATGAGCATGGGTGCATGTTAAAAGAGATTTCATATTTTTATAATTGATTGATAAGGAACTTTTCTAAATGTTTTTTAAGACTTTGTAAAGTGTTTCCAAAAAGTCTTTTTGTCTTCTTTTCCCCTTAATTTTTGCTTGAAAGGATGTTATATTCTATAAAGGTCTTTCTTCAGTTTTCCACACAATTTAATAATTCTGAATTAACACCTTTAGTAGCAAATTATAAATAATAATTTAGCTGTTTTCCTTCTCTTTTTGAAAAGAGTACCAGATGATAAAACCGTTAATGAAATTCTGAAGCCTTACATTGACCCTGAACAGTCTGACCCAGTGATTCGTCAACGGTATGTTGCAAAAACTTGTAATAAATGTTGAAGCTTTTCTTTTTAAATTTTTAATTGTGTATATGTGTGTGTAGTGGCACACATGTGTCCTAGGACAGCTTGTGAGACTGAATTTTCTCCTTCTACCATGTGGGTCCTGGGGATGAACTCAGGTCATCAGGCTTAGCAGCAAGTGCTTTACCCATTGAGCCATCTCACTGGCCCCAAATGTTGGAAGAAGTTTTAAAATGTGAATTTATTTTAGAAAGCCATTAAAAAGTGTTGCAGTTTAATTTTAATCCTAGTTCTTGGTGTTTGCCAAAGATCAGTTCCTTGTCAGTAACAACAGTAGCTAACTGTATTTACAGTGTTACAGATGTTCTTCAAAGCTTGTAATAACAATTGTGTTCACTTATTTAAGTTAAATCCATCACAGTAACTGCATGGGTAGACACTGTTTCATACCTGTTTTATAGATGAAGAAACTGAGTCTTAAGTAATTTAGTAATCTTGGTAGTTAAGAAAACTGAGTTCAAACCCCAGAACTTCACAGTCAGGCTAAAGTCTGTACCCTTAAACTAAAACTACTTTTCAAGTTGAACCAGAAATTCTAAAAAGACTTTTGAAGGCACTGTTAAAGACAGGAAATTCTGTGTCAGCCACGTCTTCACAGAACTAAATAAGGTTACACTTTGCCTCCTGTCCAGAACAACATAGTTCAAAGTGGTTAACATAGCTCAGTGGAAAGTTCCATCCTGGATGCATGAATTAAAGTAGCTGCCTCTGCCCTTATTAACTGTATGATCAAGAGCAGATCACTTAACTTTCATCAGTGAAAGGAGAATAAAACCTAGAGAGGATTGCCATGAAGCACCAAAGAAGTAGGTGTGAAAACCACAGGGTCTAGCATGTGGTGGGCAGTGCTTAGGAAAGGGAGCTGCTACAGGAGGGAGGAGTGCTCCTCGGTAGGAGCCCTGTCCACTTCATTCCCACCAGCTGGTGTGTTCTTGGGATATGAATGCTTGGTTTGGGTCCAGAGTAACTTAGGTGTTTAAATTTTAGACCTGGTGGACCCTCAGTGTCTGATTTGATCTGATCGTCTTCTAGGTAATTCTTGTTTTTCTTTATGCCTAGACCAATGCAAACCATATCACATATGAAGCCATGTCTTTGGGACAGCTGTGATAAAGTTCTTCCTTGTAGCTAAGACTCTTGTTACATTGGTTATATACTGGGAATTAATGCAGAATGCCTGTTGCAAAATTGAAGACATTAATAATTAAAAGCTCATGATTATTTGCTGAAACAGGTTGTTTTTTAGTATGTGTGCTGCCAGAACACATCCAAAACAGGTATTTTTAAATTTAAGATATCCAACTAACCCAAAAGAAAGAAGGTAAAAGTTTTTAACATCCTTAGTTAGAAAACATCCTTACTTTTTCTTGTGCTTAGACAGATGAATTACATTATTAGTTATTCATAAATGCCTAGTCTTCATAAAGACTATCCTGAAATATATTAAAATTTTACTTCAGTATGTTTTTATTTCAGATTGAAAGTTTATGTTCGCTCACAGACTGGGATCCAAATTTTAATGAAGGCTGAAAATATGCAGCAGAATTTCATAAGGTAAAATCACTTCCCTCTCCATTTCTTTAAGTATTTTCTAATTTTATAATATAATTAAGTAGCTTGATTAGGTTAAGTAGCTAGCTATTATACTAATTATTTGACTGTCAACAAAACCTAGACTTGGAAAATACTTTTCAAGTTAAAGTACTAAAATAATCACACTTATAAAAATTTGGTAGAAAATCACCTGTTTGGCTATTTTAAAATATCCTCAGATGCATCTGAAATATTTCTAAACCCCACTGCAACTTACTTCAAGAATATATATGACTGAGTTATAGTGTTTACGTGTATATTCTTGAAAATGCGTGTTTGTGTCATCAGCCTGTCAATGCCTACACTGGTGTGCAAGACCACGGCACAGGATCATGAGGAGAGCATTCTAACCATGAGTTGGTAAAGTTAGTGTCACTGGGCTTTGCTCCTTCATTAGTGACTGGAGAGTCTCTGGAAAGTCCCCCACAGAATCTAGCTACAATGCCATTTATTGTACAACACTGGTCCTTAAAGACCTCTGGTGCTGGTCTTGCGATTTAATCAACAAAACCATTAGATAAAATGTAAACTGTACCTGGTTGATTTCTTCTGTGGTTTGATTTGCTACTGTAGCTCAGAATTTTAAGAGTCCAAGCTGTGGGAGCTGATCTTCTTAAAGGGAGGGACTCTGGACTGGCTGAGTAGATCCTAGTGGATGAACTTGCACTGAGGGACATCTAGGGACACTACTACATGATAGGCCTTAACACAAATGACAGATCTATGAACTCCAGTGGGGGCGCTATGGGAGGGTACCAGAGGGGGAGGGGGCACAAAGACGATTTTATGTATGAAATACACAGAAATTCAAGAAGAATTTTTTTTTTTTTAAGTTGAAGCTGTGGAAGGCAAAGCCAGGCCCTCACCCCGCAGTGTGCCTCTCAGGTTAGCTGCAGTGATTTTTTTTTTTTTTTTGATTGTTCATTCTCACTGTAGTCTAGATAAGCCTCGAACTCACTCTAGCCCAAACTGGCCTTGAAGTCCTTCCTTCTCCCTTGGCTCCTGAGTGCTGGGATTACACACATACCACCACACCTGACTTAATGCATGTTGTTATTACTACTGATATTGTTATGACTACTCTTATTTTTACTGTTATTTCTACTACTGATAAGTGTATGTTTAGAAAAGATCTGCATGTAGAGTCCTAAGACTTACATCAAACAGATATTTAAACCTCAAATCTTGACCACTTTTTACCAACATATCTAAACACTCTTCGCTTTCCATCGTTGATCAAGCTCCAAGCGGAAGAAGCTTGTTCTTCTATTCCTTCCCTTGGCCCTTTGCTTCCGCGCTCATTTACCTGACTTCTGTCCATGCTTTAGCTTCCTTTTCTCATTTGGGTTCTTCAGTGAGATGGAGTTCTGTGTTAACCAAAGTCAACACAGAAATTGGGAATCAAACTCAAATGTAGTTGACAAGAGATACTGATGCAAGGTGATGTTTCAGTCTTGTTAGTAAAATCCTAACGCAAATTCCATCCAACTGGTGTTTGGACAAAATGGCTAGCCTCATTCTCTGACAGACCTTTGAGAAATTCCTTTTTCTTTTATTATCGGTGCTGCTTCCAAATTCAGTTCCTTTCATGACATGCACCATATTTTACCTCATTGGTTCATTCTTCTTCATGTTTTACATGGTGCACGTTTGATGAGTTTGCTGTAGCTCCAGTCTCATAGTAAGAGCGCACCTCTAGGGGATCTTTACGAAGAGTGAAACGGCTTTTAGTTAGCTGTCTTATCTCATCTTCTCTAGTCCATAGAACTCGCATATCACCCCCACCCCTTCCAGGTAACAGTCTCTTGTCAGATCTTTATTGATGCTTTTATGTCATTCTGAGCATTTCACAACTCTCTCGTAGACTGCCACTGTGGGGATAATGTCCAAAGGGATCCAGAGAGCTTGTGGGAGATTGCGAAAGTATCGTCCATCTTGATTCCTGAAATTCTTGTTCTTAAGAGCTGCAGTAAGGGGAGAAAGAGGAGTGGCCCGGTGGCTCATGCCTTTAATCCCAGCACTTAGGAGGCAGAGGCAGGTGGATCTCTGGGATCCAGGCCAGCCTAGTCTACATAGTGAGTTTTGGGCCAGCTGGGGCTGCAGATTGATTAGGCTGTGCCAACTCAGTAAATTATTCAAATTTGACTGTTTGGCAGAATATCCTCATCTAAAAGTCAAGGAAATCAAAGTATACATGACAAAAAGCTAATTGTAGGATTATAAATTCTGAATTTATAATACAGAACATAGTACTGAATTCCAGCAGCATGTTTATAACCTTAGAAGTTTCTACTGCCCAAAAGAGGCTGAAAGGATGGCAGAGTGGCAAAAATGCCTTAAGATGACATGATGTCAAGGGAGAAATCAGGTACCTAGAGGCCAGGACTCAGAAGATACCTGTCAAATAGAGAAGACTTGTTTTAACCACCAATCACAGGGAGTAAGCCTGCTGAGTTTCAAGTAGATGGGACTCATTTTCTGCAACACTTTTTTGTATTAATCATGTATTATTAGGATCCCACATGAGTGGAGTTGTGTTCCAGTAAGAGATAATATTATCCTTCCAGGGTACATAATTTACAGAGAACTTATATCTTACTTTAAGACAGTCCATATTAGACCTGGTAGAACAAATTTCTTGCCATTACAAATATTAAATTTATCATTTTCAATAAATATAATTCAAATACTTTGAGTTGCAAAAAACAGTTAACATCTTACTAAAATGACTTGATGAGTGCAGGGGCTCGTTGCCTTTTGTTTTTTATATGCTGCAGATTATTTCCTTGGTAAAATGAAGAAATCTGTTCAGTAGAAAAGTTCCATATGACTGGCAGTGAACTGTGTTATGCATCACATTTTTTAAGTAACAGCCTCTTTCAGCCAGTAATTTCTTACACGTCTAGGAAGGATAGTAAAGTCAGTATTAGCTGTACGCCCAACAGCCTGCTCACCACTAGCCATAATGGTCCAGATGCTCAATCATGTTGGCTTACATTTCTTTTAAAATAAATTGGGTATCAGAATACAAACTTTTCTGAAACTTGTTTAAGATTTCAGCCATTGTTATTTCTGTACAAGAGACTCCCAGGTCTAGAAGTGATTGCAGCCCTTCTTCCAACTACCAAGACCTGGTTCCAGCTGTCTTCACTTACATGTCTCATTAAATCTTTTTTCTTAAATTTCTTTTGAGAATTTCATAGATGAAGATTGTATTTATATCATTTCCACCTCCCACCCCCCCAGTTCCTCCTGTGCTCCCCACTTCAAATTCATGACCTCTTCTTTTTAGTTATTATTTTTATACACACACACACACACACACACACACACACTCATCCACTTAGTGGTGCTCATATATACATGTTTTTAGGGCTGACCACTTGGGATTGGATCAACTATCGGGACTCATCCCTGAAGAAAACTGATTCTCCCTCTCTTGGCGGCCATTGATTGCCTGTAGCTCTTCGTCTGTAGGTAGGAGCTTGCAAAATGTCCCCCGTTCTTGTTGGCATATCAAGTGGTGTTGCATTGTGCAAGTCTTGTTCAGGCTACCATATTGTTAAAATTTAATGGGTACACTTCGAGGTCGTGTGAAGACACTGTACAGAAGCAGACGTCCTGATCCTTTGGCTCTTGCAGTCTTTGGGCCCCTTCTAGGATATTCCCTGAGCTTTAGGTGGAGGGGTTGCCTTGTAGATGTATCATTTGGGGCTGGGCATCCCACAGTTACTTATTCTCTGCATTTCTGCCCACTGTGGATTTCTGTAATGGTCTCCATCTGTTGTAAAAGAAGCTTCTTTGATGATGGATGAGAGCTACGTTAAATTTTAAGCTCAGCATATCTTTATCTCATTAGACCACGTTTCTTCCTGGTTGTGTGTGTGTGTGTGTGTGTGTGTGTGTGTGTGTGTGTGTGTGTGTGTGTGAAATGAGTTAACTATGTTCCTAGCATCTAGTGAACAAACCACAAATCATGGTACCTGTTCCTGTTGTCCACATAGTCATTCTTGTAGGCATAAAACCGTAGAGCCAAACATCTTTGCTGTCTTGACTTCTCTGCCACCTTTCTTTGTGTTGACTTCCATAATGAGTCTTACAGTGTCTTCTCGCCATTCTTCTAACTAGACCAGTGTTTGCCAGTCTACAGTAGAGCTCATTTATCCCCTAAACTGGATATAATTCCTTATCCTTTGAACTTCAAAAGATGTTTTATATTTTTCATGCATTCCTACAGTTGTGTCATATATTTTATCCCAATAAAACATTCTATATGATGCTAAACTCATTTTTAAAAAGTGCATGTCTTGAGCATCTTCATCTTTATTCTGCCTACTGCTGTGTCAGTTGATTTCCCACAATGCAACTTAAATTTTAATTTGGGGAGAGGAGGAGGTAGCTCAGTCAGTAAAACACTTGCCATGCAAGTGTGAGCTCCTGAATTGGTTCTCCATAACCTACGTAAAAAGCTGAGTGTGGTGACACACACTTGGAATCCCAGCACTGGGCGGGCAGAGACAGGCAGATCCCAGGGCTTGCTGTCCAGTCAGTCTAGCCTATTCGGTGAACTCCAGGCCACTGAGAGACCCCGTCTCAAAACCCAAAGTGAATAGCTCCTGAGGAACGATACCCAAGGTTGACTTCTGGCCTCTACATGCATGGACACACACATAAATGAATCAATATTTTTAGTAAGTTGTTTACTGACTGACTTAAATATATGTCTGTCTGCTGTGTGCTAGGTTTTGATGCCACTTTAAATGGCCAAGAAGTGAGTGCTCTAGTGACTGTTCCAGTAAAATAACAGGGAGCTGGGTTTGGTCTGCTGTCCATTGATTGCTAGCCCCTGCTCTAAAGGATTGTTTAAGCAATCATTTGCAGCTTTGTAGGGTTTAAGTAGTTAGGTGCTTCAGTTCTCAATGTGTAAAGTAAACGATATTTTAACAAGGCCCCAGTGTAAT